GTAAAATAACGCTTTAATTTATTGAGACAAAGCTTAGTAAGAAGATAATTGGGTTTTGAGCAGACTTGTGATTTCACTTGTCCCAGTTTTAAGCTTTCAGTGTTTTGGGTATCCCCAGTGGGGTTACCCAAAACACTAGGGATTTGGGTACGGGGGTACCCAAAACTCAGGGATACCCAAATCACTGTGACACCGGAACTACCTGCACCCTGTCTTGCGTTCGTTCGAATTCTGTTTGTTTTGACATATTTTCCGTAACTGCGCTCTTGGCTGTTGGAAGGAAGGGCTCTAAAAGATCAGTTGAATAGATGGTGCTTCGTTGAAGGTAAGCCAAAAACGTTTGTATAGTAAACTGATGAGTCCATTTCAGACAAACGAATCCTATAAGCATGCGAGCCAATATTAAGTCTCCGGTTAGCCTATGAAACAACAGTCTGGTTAGCCTAAATAGAACCTTGTTAGCCTGAATAGCCCCCCAGCTGCCCTTAAAAAGTTGTTAGCTTGCGTTTAGCCTTTGAGCCCGTTGCCCTATAACTCAGTCTCGTTGCAGCGGACACCCGCTTTTACAAGACCGTTGAGCCCGTAGCGATCGCGATCACATGGCCCACTTGCTGGCTTGCCTATAACTTCTCGTTATATAGCGGACAGTCCCTCTATGTGGTGTAATGTGGAACCTCCTTTATTCAAAATAAATTGGGCCATGGAAGTCTAAATTTACAACACTACCTTGCTGCTTTTCAACACCAAATGTGTTCATACATAGAGCATGATCATACTGATGACATGCTGATGATGATCATGATCCTGCTGATGAGTCCTCTATCAATCAATGTTTTTAAAGAATGGAATTCTCCAGGCCTACTTAATCTATAACAATTGATATCGAAAATCATTTGATAACAATCAAACTCACAGAATTATTTTTTTATTTCTCAATTGCTATCAATGGACAAAAATCGCTAGCGATCGATAATTCCTATCTTGTTCAGGAATATCCATTGTCATCAATTGAAAAAAAATGGAAATAACTGAAATCACTAGATCAGAACACTGACTGTGTTGTTTATATGTTGCTTATGTTGCTTCATCTCAATGTTGACGCTACATTGAGACTGCTACTCTAGGCTGAGTTTCTAATTTCTGCTTGCCACCGTGCCACAAACTAGCAAAGAAACAAACAATTTTGGGCTTTAAAAGCCCAAAATTGTTTTCTGTTAGTTGTTTCTGTTGTTGTTATGTTGATGGTGATTGTAAAAGATACACAGGCTATGAAGACAAAATGACTCATAAAAGAGACAAATTTTGTCATTCATTTTGTTAGTGTATAACTTGTAAAAAGACAAAACTAATTCTACTGATAACAATCAAGAATCAATACCAAATGATGTCAAATCAATCACTTAATTGATTGCTATCAGCAATCGATAATAATCAAACTCACAACTTTTTTGCTTCGATTGTCATCAATTACAATCGATATCAATCTTTGTTTGATATCGATTGTTATTGATGGATATCAATTATCATTGACTCCTTACACCTGGAATTCTTGATGTGAGGACCCCTAGCAAAGGAGGCATTGTGATGCCATTTCTTGCAAACATTTTGACAACATTCATGTGTCACATACTTTTAATCACTTTTAGCACAAAGTCTTCCACAAATTCATGAATCACATTTGTCTAATTCAGCTGCTTTTCATGCATCACATGCTAATTTTGGCCTCATTACATGTCACACATAAACCCTTTGCTAGTCCCTCCCTGGTTCATCTCAATAAAAGCATAGAGAGACCTCAGTTGGTTGTAACATAATATGTTAAGACAAAAGCTGTAACATGATTTTCTTACATGTCACATAATTATAACTCTGATTATAATATGATTAGCAAGAGCTTCACTTAGATGTCCACACATGTAAGATGAATTTTGCATTTGACTTCCCACTAGTTGTAAGTTTCTCCAAATAGAAGCTTGGCAACAAGTTGTTATGCTGGCAACAAAATTCTCGTTAAGAAAGATATTAAGTGTCTATCATGTTACAAGCATGGGACAAAGATAAAATCTTAGTGCCCTGAAAGTAAATAATGTTCCCTTTGGGATGGCTATCTTTAAAACGGGGAACGGGGAATCGGGGAATGGGAATGGGGAATGGGGAATGGGGAACGGGGAATCTTTAAAATGGGGAATCTTTAAAA